ATATTATTAAATAGTATGCTTATTATAAAACATATACAGACAAAACAGAAATTTAAAATGAAATATAAAATGTAACTAGACATCCTAATATTTTATATCTATATCCCAGGGGCTTATCATACATATGAACCCCACTTTGGAGCCTACTGATCTAAAAGATGCCAAGAGAACAACACTGCTATCAAAGGCTCCCCACTTTTTTCCCCCAGTTGTACTTGTCTCCTAACATATGCCAAGATTGTTAGATACTATAAGTATGTCAGATATAATCTTTGCCTTCGAGTTGACAACCATATAAGGCAGGAAGAGTCATGGAAGTAGTGTATGCCTATGTACTTCTTGACACTTTCCTGGCCATTCTACAGAATTGAAAATTTAAAAATTTGACTGTTCTTGCAGAGTAGTTTTATCCTTAAAAAGAGATCAAATCACTTAGCAGTAACAGCACAATTTTTTTAGTAGTTTTCCTGGAGATTATAATGAACAAAGTTGTCAAGAGATAAACATTAGGAAGTAGTTCATAAATTGAATCTGGAATTTGGGAGGGAAAAGACAATCTTTCTACAGAAACCATGGTGGTTTGGACACAAAAGCCTGTGTGTAGAAAATATTCTAGAAAACTCATCCCAGTTCAAGGATAGAACTACTCAAAGAGTGAGCTGGGACACTTCTGCAGTAGCCCTTGCAGCTGAGGTAAACTCAAGAGATATGGGGAGTGGGAAGGAGGGCCGGATCTTTGGCAACATCTTATTACCAACAGAAATGGCAGAGTGACAAGGGAGAAACGATTTGGGAATGGGAGTAGGAGGGAAGCCAAGGATTTTGCCTATGTGCTCAATGTTCATGTTCAACCCTGCCTAATTATGGGTCATTATTTTGAGAGTTTTCAAAAACTGTTCCTGGAAATAATAGTAAAAATATATGCGTTATCTATCAAAGACATTATAAGCAGTTAAAGGCAACTACAATAATAGTTGTAAAAACAAAAACCTTTTTGCCAAGGCTACCTAATATACCACTGCAGTTGCTGTGACTCTTTAAGGTTCTTCCATGGGACTTGTCACAATCAAGGGAATATGCCAGTGCCTGCTGTCATCTGCTATTATGTAATACTTGAATTTGCTTTTGTGACCACATTAAAGGATTCTTCAAAGTACCATCACATTTTTACGTGAGACTGATTCCTGGCATGAACTATTCTTGATTCTGGTCTGTTTGCCTGGTCACTAGAAAGCTAGATATTTCTTCATTTTAGGTTATCTTCTTTTATCTTTACTTTAGTTTTGAAAGGCAGTATAAACATGGTAGTTACAAAGCACAGGCTTTGAAGCCTGGCAGACCACGGCTCAAATCTCAGCTCTATCACTTTCAAATTGGATGATGTTGGCCAAATAAGTCTAACTTTTCTGAGTCTCAGCTTGCCCATAAAATAGTAGTAATAAAACCACCCAATTATCATTTTAAGGAATGCTGGTGGCACAGTGGTTAAGCACTTGGCTGCTAACCAACAGACTGGTGATTCAAATTCACCATCCCTCTGTGGGAGAAAGGTGTGGCTGTCTGCTTCTATAAAGATTACTGCTATTGTTGTTAGGTGCCATTGAGTCAATTCCAACTCATAGCGACCCTGTGTACTTCACAACAAAACACGGCCTGGTCCAGTGCCATCTTTACAATTGTTGGCTATGTTTGAGCTCACTGTTGGTGCTATTATGTCAATCATCTCATTGAGGGTGTTCTTCTTTTTCACTGACCCTCTACTTTATTAAGCATGATGCCCTTCTCCAAGAACTGGTCATACCTAAAAACATATCCAGAGTACGTGAATCAAAGTCTCAACACCCTGACTTCCACGGAACGTTCTGGTGTACTTCATCTAAGACAGATTTTGGAAATCCCACACGGCAGTTCTACTCTGTCCTATAGGGACACTATGAGTTGGAAGTGACTCAACAGCAATGGGTTATCATCCTTTTAAGTGTACAAGTGGCTGGTTTTTAATATATTCACAAGTTTGTGTAACCATCATCACTATCTGTTGTTGTTATGTGCCATCGAGTCTTCTCTGACTCATAGTGACCTTACGTACAACAGAACAAAACACTGCCTGGTCCTGTGCCAGCCTCACGATCCCTACTATACCTGAGGCCATCGCTGTAGCCACTGTGTCAATCCATCTTGTTGAAGGCCTTCCCCTCTTTCATTGACCCTCTACTTTATCAAGCATGACATCTCTTTCCAGAGAATAGTGTCTTATGACAACATGACCAAAGTAGGTAAGATGAAATCTGGCCATTCTTGCTTCTAAGGAGCATTCTGGCTGCACTTCTTCCAAGACAGATTTGTTAGTTCCTTTAGCAGTCCATGGTACTTTCAGCATTCTTCGTCAACACCACAACTCAAAAGCAACAACTCTTCTTTGGTCTTCCCTGTTCACTGTCCAGCTCTCACATGCATAGGAGGTGACTGAAAATACCATGGCTTGAGTCATCACTATCTAATAAAATATTTCATCATCCCCAAAACAAACTCCAAACTCATTCTCAGGGGTCAGTGGTGATTCAGTAGTAGAATTCTCACCTACTATTCAAGAGATCCAACTTTGATTCCTGGCCAATGCACCTTACATGCAGCCACCAGCAGTCTATCAGTGGAAGTTCAACCTATGTTGAATAGGTTTCAGCAGAGCTTCCACACTAAACTGGAGTAGGAAGAAAGGCCTGGCAAGCTGCTTCTAAAAAATCAGCCAATGTAAACTGTACAGATGACAATGGTCTGATCTGCAACCAATCATGAGAACAGAGTAGGACTGGGCAGTATTTTGTTCTGGT